TGATGGTGATGATGATGAACGTGATGGTGGTGGTGGTGGTGATGATGATGGTGATGATGGTGATGATGATGAACGTGATGGTGGTGATAGTGGTGATGGTGATGATGACAGTGATTGTGATGATGATGAACGTGATGGTGGTGATAGTGGTGATGGTGATGATGATGGTGATGACGATGAACGTGATGGTGGTGGTGGTGGTGGTGGTGATGGTGATGATGATGTCACGTGATGGTGATGACTGTGATGATGGTGGTGGCGGCGGTATTGGCAGTGGCAGCAGCACCCGAGATGACACTATTCTGTGTCAGTTTAGCTGCCTCGAGGAAATATGGGGCTCAGTTCTGCCTCTTAGAGAGGGATTATGAATAAGCACAAAGAGGCCGCAATTACAAAGAGAAAACAACAATGACAATGATTATGGCAAATACCTGTGCCAAGCTCTTCGGGGGAATTTATGTCATTGAAGATTTACAAAAATGCTACTTTGATCCCCACTCTATAGAGGAAGAAACTTGAGGTCTAGAGGATCTATGTTGTTTTTTTAAGGCCTTAGAGCTGGTAAAAAGCAGGGCAGGGCTCAGAACGGAGTGTTTCTGACTCCTGGGATGGTCACCCCAGCCCACTGGCTCACAACATGCTGCCTCTTGGGCCAGTGTGGCCACAGCAGCCCCTGAGCATCGCTCTCTCTGGGGACTCTGCCCAGCAACATGACCTTCCCTGCCTGCTCTAATCCAAGAAGTGCCTCTGAGAGGTTGAACACCTCAGTGTAGAGGAGAAGGACAGTAGAGAAGTGGCAACAGCCGGAAAGGTGCTCAAGCACAGGGACTGCCCCAGGCCGCCACACTCCTCAGCCATGAGGCGCCAGCCAGCCACGAAGGGACATGCACATCACAGAGCAACCTCCGTGAAGCCTCCCTTAGGAGTCAGCTCTGGGGAGGGGCAGCTGTTCTTCCCACTCTCTCGTCTGACGCATCACCTGCACACATGTGCACACACACAGGTGCACACACACGTGCACACACACACGGACACACGCACGCACACACGCATGCACACGCGCGCGCACACACGCGTGCACACATGCGCACACACGCGCGCACA